TTAGTCCTGATAGTCTCCAAAAGAAAGGGTCTTCGTTGGCAGGGGATTTTTACACGGCGGATCGGAAACACAGCGCCCAAAAAAATAACGTTGGCACTCGAAAGACTGTTACCACTGCTGTCGGGAGTGCAGATGTGGCGAGAGTTTTTGCAGAGAAGGCTCATTATACTCTTGTACCATGAAACGAAGACAAACGCCGGACAAGATCATCTCGCCAAGACTGGCTTTCTACTCTGGTAACTCCAGAATTCCTGTCGCCGCATGCTGCGCCACCAAGAATTAGATCCACACAGGGCATTGGTCAAACGTTGGTTAATAAAACGTCTATCCTTTGCGCCAGTTTTGATAATGATTGTCTGCTCGTCAATTTCTTATTCGCACTGCTGTTTTGTGGTAGAGTAAGGAGTTTTAGAAGTCGAGAAGGAAGCTTTTAAACCGGGCCCCTAAAACAAATACTGAGGTGGACTGGCAAGGCTGCCACCGCCTTCAAAGGGAATATAAGAAGATAATTCGTTCTTCGAAAACGTCTAGGCTCCTAGATACTTTGAATGGAATAGCTAAGCTGTTGAAAATCATTCTCAAATGCCAAACTCCTATTGCTTTCACTCAAGGAGACAAGAAGTGAGGCTGTCAGTTCTTTCGGAGTCTTACTTACTTTTACTTAAATGATGGCCACACATTCCCCTGTCACGATTGGATTTGGTGCGCGAAGGAATGGTTTCTTGATAGAACTGTGGCAAATGACGATGCCAAATTGTGATGGCTATTGTACCCAAGGAGGAATTGAGCTTTTGGTAATAAGACTAGTTGATATCATCTTTACATCTGAAATTCTAAATCTAAAAGCTTCAGGCCTCTTAGCATGCTGTCTTTCATGCTGAAATGGCTGAAGAGTTTGTTTGAGTTGCGTATTCAGTTCGCTCACAATGTCAAACAATCTTAAAGTGAGACTCATAGTACATAATAGGAAAGATGCTGAGTTTATTTATTATTTTCATTAATAGAGTTCAATTAATATTAGAAAAAAACGATTATAGTTTACACATATTTAATCAAATTCAAAGCTACTTTAGTGATTTTGTTTAATCATAATATTTACGACTATGAACGCTCCGCTCACGATCTCGATCTCGATGTGACGTCTTCGATTTGGTTGTCCTATGAGAACGAGCACTCACATGACTGTGGGAACGCGAGCGCGAACGATATGTCGAACGTTTTGAAGAGGATTTCGAAGAGATTGAAGACTTTGTACTCTCTGAAATTTTCGCTGGCTTCTTAGTAATCCAAAACTTCAAAACAAAACAGAGTTCGGCTTTGAAGGCCTGCCAGGGTGTGGTCTAAAAAGTGGAGGTACATTTTTTATTTTTTTTTCACTTTTTAAATTTAAAGAACAAAACCATTACTTACTTGCTCTTCCACTGCGACAGTTTGTACATTCCACAAGAACTCGCATAGTCCAATTATGAAGGAGACCAACACGCCAGCGCCGAGCACAAGAAAAACGCCACCCAGCTCAATAATAGAGAGCTCATCACCATCGACTTCAATATATTTAACACAACTAAAATTATTTCTCGGCGTCCACCAACGGCGTTTGAGATTGAAAAGTTCGCCCTTCTCACTGAGTTGTAGCAGCGAGACGCTCAAATTTGAACGATACTCAGCGCCGAGCGGCACAGCCAAGGCGTAATGCTTCTCGCCAATTTGACCACCAACTTGCTTCAGATCGCAGCTGCGCTCAATGTTGTATGACATGGAGGTCGTTTCCATGAGAAAAGCATAGCTACCCTCACCTTTGCGCACGCGATCCACACCTTCCTTGTTGCTCGACGTGAAAGCTGATGGCGTGAAGGAAATCATTTGATTCCAGGCTTTCTTATAATCTGTCTCATTTGATTCGGAAAAGAACACCGAAGTGCTGCCACCTGCCAATGTGCCGTATTTAATTTTATTCTGATCGACAAGACTCTCGAGACTATCGAATTCACTCTGTAACTTATTGTTTGTTAGCGAAGCAGCCAAATTGGCGATATAGGCGTTGACCATCATCAATGTAAAGAACCACCACATGCTGCTGAGGATGCGCATTGGGGGACCTCTATTACAGTGGGGACATGCAAAAAATTTAGAGCTTTGCAGACCTACTAACAATTTAATGCATTCACTCACTTGGGAAGTATATCGCAACCTTGCTGCATAATGGAGCCAATCATCAACCAAAATGAGTTAGAATTGTTCCATATATTTTCAAGTTCTTCGGGGTCGGGATCAGCTGGATTGGGATTTGTCCACTCGTGATGTGAGAATCTGCAGAAATAAGGCAACGGATTGTTATGACGAAATTGAAGCATTGCAGAAGGAGAGACAGAGAAAGATATATATTTATATAAAAGGATACATGAAAAAAGGAGACACTGCACTGCATCCCCAAAAATCCATTAGCCGAACTCCAAATTTTAAAAGCCCAAAGTACACTAAAATAAATTACGAAATTTCGTGAAATTTTACGGCAAAGCTCGAAAACTCCGAAGGTAGGTATTTCCAAAAAGGACTCTTGGAAAAATCCCGAAAATGCCCAAAAATTTCCAGCGACTTCTTAAAATACTGAATAAGTCTAGAAAAATCACGGAAAATCGCAAAACTTCCCGAAAAATCATAAAAAGTCCCAAATAAGACACCAAAGATCGCGAAAAACTGCGAAAGATCCAAATATATGTAAATACCAAGTAACACAGTCAAGAAGAGTGCAAAAAAAAAAAAAACAGAAAAATAAGACAAAATAATATCTAAGCTCGGAAAATATATCCCCTAAACTGCCGAAAAGTCTTGGAAAAAATCTTAATATAACGAACAAAAGTTAAAAATTCTTAAAATCTCCGAATAAAATGCAAAACATTTTGAAAATTCCTAAAACTCTCGAGAAGTCCTGAAAAGTCTCGAATAAAACACGAAACGCCACGTTAAGTGTCAAAACCTACAGGATTAAATTCCAGCAATTCACGATAAATCTTAAATAGTTTCAGAAATTACGAATTTTCTCGAGAAGTCCCAACTAGTTTAAGACCCGAAACATCCGGGAATAAATGCCAACCAGTGCCGAAAGGCTCCTAGAAACCCTAATAAAAGAAAAAAATACCTTGAAAAGTCGCAAAAGACCAGAAAATGTATTCCAAAGAGCGCCGAAAAGAATTTGAACGGATTTTTGATTCATTGAAAAAAATTTCAAAAATTTCGGAGAAATCGTCAAAAGACTCCAATTAAACACGAAATGTCACGAAAACTCTCGAAACATACAGAAATAAATGCTAAGAAGTCCAGAAAAGTTCCTCAAAAAATAGAGTAAAGCAAAAAATGTGACGGAAAGTCAATAAAAAATTGGAAAATAGATCCCAAAAGTTAAATGAAATCTTGGAAAAATACCAAATATACCAAAAATATTTCAAAGTTTGCCGAAACAATTTTAAAACCCCAAATGCCTTCTGATGTCGCCTGAGCACCACCTCCACGGTGAGGCCCAAATGCTACCCGTAAGGGATCATAATAAAATACTCAGCAAGCAATTTCTGGTGAGATGCCACAGGCGTTTGCACCCCAACAGACACTTGCTAGAGGATGAGTCTCAGCTCAGGCACGTCAGAAGGCATATTTTCGAGTACATAATCACGGTCCAGACTTACATCGATCAACCAAAAAACCCAACTACCTACCGACGAGTGATCAACGGAATTCATAGAGCGTCGGTATGAATGCCGTGATAAGTGCTCAATATCAATCTATTGCAGATTCTGAGCCACGAGAGACCCGCGCTACTTTTACCCAATTACGGTCAGAATATTGTAGCCGTCTCAACAGCTACTTATCCCGACTCGACACCGATATGATTGATGAGTGCCCATCCATAACACCATCCACCTATTCACAGTTCCGTCCTCAGCTCCACACCTCTCCATTTGGTCTCAGCTCGTTCAAACAGTTCGATTATTGGGTCTACCATTAGTTGAACTTGACGACAACGATTGATGAACAAACCGACCTAGGCGGGGCTTAGTAGTGCCACCACAACAACAGCAACAGTACACCCTTCTATTCCATCCCAAACTGTCCTGCATATATGCGGTGACCATATCCTTCCTATCTTTTCCTTTCATGAAAACCTCAGTTAAAAAAAAAAAATCCATTACTCACCGCGCCAACAACACAAACAACAAGGTCATCACCAGTTGGGTTAACATCATATTGTACCACACCTCTTCGGCGAAAGGATCCAAGAAGGCGAAAACATTCTTCGGCGCTGGTGGTCTCTTGTAATACAAAATACTAATACCCAGCTGCATGAAAGGCACTGTAAAATCGACTACCTTACGACGCGCCTGTGTAATCGTTATATCGCATATGCCAATCTGTGCTTG